AACATATATATATATAAACAATTGAGCTTTTATTTTTAACTTTCCTTTTTTTTTTTAGGACAGAAGATTTTGTTCATTTGAAAAGTTAAAATGTAAAAGATCTTGATCAAAGATAACATTAACACCATTCCCATTCCGCTTATGGAATAAAACATTACGGATAAAGCTCTGGTACCTAAAGTAATTCATATTCTCTTCTATATAATATTCTATTTGTTAATACACCATGATTTATGATTCGATCTTTGGCTGTTGACTTTTTATGATTATATGCGATGCTGTAATGAACATTCTTTTTCTTATCTCTCATGTGAGAATTCATTAGCACACAGACTGTAACTGGATAACTAGATTGTCACCTATCTGTCCATTTATATTGTGCTGCTATTGTGCTGGCAGATAAGCACTGTTGTTTCAAATAGTAGCAGAGTTATCCACCGTGGACAGGTTTCAGTGGAGCTTCTAGCCTAAGACAGACTAAGAATAAAGGCCTGATAAGCTACTTCTGGAAATAAGCTAATTAAAACCATATGCGCCACTTTGCCAGCCCTAAATGATTGTATTTTGTGCTGGGAGATAAGCCTCCTGGGTTGGAAGGCACTCACAGCACACAGTGAGCACACACAGGACTAGAGCATGTCAGGATCATGAAAGCGGTGCAGGGAGAGGCAGCATTCTGTTCTGTGGTACATGGCGTCATCAAGTGTGGGGGCCCACATGACACAACTAACAACGACATGTAAGTTGGAATAGCAATTGTTGGAGGATAGTACACAAGCATCATCAAATGTATTAGATTCACAAAGTGCTTGTTCTAATGGACACTTCCCTCACCACGGAATGGCAACACATTTTTGTCAGCATTTGGTGCTGCCAGACCTTTCACATTTTGGCCAATTTGAATGGCATCCAGTTTAGGTTTAATATGTATTCTCCTGATTATAAGCAACATGGAACTGTTTATTATATATTTATTAGACTGCTCACCTTTCCTTTTCTGGGATTTGGTTTTTCTTTCTTTTTTTTTTTTAATAATTTTATTAGGGGCTCATACCACTCTTATCACAATCCATACACACATCAATTGTGTAAAGCGCATTTGTATATTCAGTACTCTCATCATTCTCAAAACATTTCCTCTCCACTTAAGCCCCCAGCATTAGGTCCTCATTTTTCCCCTCCCTCCCCGCTCCCCCTCCCTCATGAGCCCTTGATAATTTGTAAATTGCTATTTTGTCATATCTTGCCCTGTCTGACGTCTCCCTTCACCCACTGTTCGGTTGTGACTGGAGCTCTTTTTCACGGGACTAGAAAGTCTTTGTATCAGAGCAGCTGCTGGATTTGAACTGCTGACCTTGCAGCTATCAGCCTAACGTAATCCACTACGCCACCCGTTGCTAACCAATGGGGCAGTGGCATGGCTGTGGCCAGAGCTGGGCCACAGCAGGAGCCTGTGACCCTGGCACAGAAGCTATTCCCTGGGGGCTAAGGGTTCACAGACATCCCTCTGAGGCCCCTTGAAGATCCATCTGCACCCAAACCCAGCCTGAGAGAGTCTGCCTCATCAGGCCAGGGACTTGGAGGTCTGAGTGGAGGTCAGGAGGGAGTCCCCACCCTCACTGCCCACTGCCCGTACCCTGACCATTCTGGCCAGTCCGGGTGCTTGTCATCCAGTGACTTGCTACCTCCAGCCACCTAGAGGACACAGGCTTGTCTGTCTGAAGGTGTGTGTGTGTGTGGGGGGGGGGTGGCTGCTCACACTGCACACAGGGGCAGGGGGAAGCAGGGAACGACCCCTTGTGTGCCGGCAGGGCTGAGTGCCCGTCCTTCTCTCCTGTGACTGCACGGTCTCTCTCGGCTGACCTCATCCCACGTCACAGAAGAGAAGAGCGAGTTCGAGGAGGTAACTTTCAGGCATGACATTTGGCTTCTGCCTTCACAGGGTCCCTTAGGCAGACGGCCATCTGCCCGAAGCTGGAGGGTGTGTGTGTGTGTGTGCACACTGGCAGAGGCAGGGTGGCACTGAGCCCCCTCTGCCCTCTCTGAGGGTCAGGACACACTACTGCCCTGCCCCCACCGCCCACCAGGAAGGCCTGAAAAAAACCTTCCCTCAAAGGGTGTGGCTGGGTTCTGCAAGGCCAGGCTGATAGCCCGCCTCCCTCCAGAGTATCCTCACTCAAGAACTGATTCTGGGGGTCTGCTCCTTCCTGAGGATGTGGAGTCCCCAGACTCCGGCCCTGTGTGTCCGTGACCACCCTGGTCCCCAGACGCTGGCACCTTGTGCCATGACTACCCTGCTGGCCCAGATTGCCCAGGCTCAGGGGAGGGGCTGGAAGACGAGGCGGCGACTGTGGATAAAGGGACCTGCTGGGGCTCCTGTCAGGGAGAAGGGCCCAAGGACAGACGAACCCAAGCCTCGCAGACAGTGGGCCAGCTATGGTCTCCAGGAGGGGGAGGCCATCAGAGATCAGCGAAGGGTGTCAGTGCCCTGGGCTGGGGCGGGAGGGCCCCAGCAATTGTAATGTCTGCCCTGGGGTGATGGCCCCTCCAGTCACCAGTGGGGATGGGGCCCTGCGGTCGCCAGCTCTGTAACCAGACAGCTCGGAGGGCCTGTAGAGCTGTGGAAACGTGGTCGCGCCAGTGGACTGGGCACAGGGTGCTGCTGGCCTTGCCCTGGCTGGGGTGGCTGGGCATCTGGTATGGAGCCTGGTACGTACAGGTGGCAGAGAAGCAGGGACGGCGGCGGGGCGCTGAAGTGAGGGCCCAGTCCCTTTGCAAACAGGGCAAGGGCACTAAGCAAGAGGGTAGTGAGTGTGTGTGTGTG